AAAGGCTGCACATTACTTTGTGAAATTGAAAATGTCAAACAATATACTAACTTTACTAACTAAAATTTAAAACAAATCCCAAATCAAATAAACAAATAATACAAATAAATGTCTCCATGCAAGTAAACTAAGGTTTTGCCTGTGTATTTTAATCACGATCCAAAAAAGATGCTGCATACATGTTATTTAGATTTTAAAATTTAGAAATTTGAAACAAAAACAAAATGGTCTGACTTTAGCTTTGTGATACTACGTAAAAAATCAGAACGAAACAAAAACAGCAGAGGGGCTGAATGAGACGCAAATATCACTCTCTGACAGCAGGTAGCGCTTAAACAGCAGGTATTTATAGGCGGCTGCCCCTTTAAGACCGAATGCACAGATCCAATATAATGATGCACCTATTTCATCCTACCCTGAACTGCATCCAATATCATTTCATCAATCTGATAGTATAACTCTCTTTCTCTCTCTCTTTCTCACTCACCCACACACACACACACACACACACACACACACACTAACTGGCTTCACCCTGCTTCAAAATAATCGTTCTTTCATCTTCTTTCTTTCATCACACCTTCTAGACAAAATATTATGACAATAGGTATTGAGTCTTTCATGTTCTCACAAAGCAGACAAAAGTTTACTAAAATGCTTTAGTACGGAGCCCCTAAAGGGACATGGTGGTGGAAAAAATCAATTCTCTGCCTGAAACGCCGCTCTGTATGAGCGTGCTTTGAGCACCGAACTGAATTCTTCATGCGCATGAAATTGGTAAGACTTAGAAACACGTGTAAATGATAAACTATGTTCCGTTTCACCCCTACGCGAATTAAGGAAGGGATTTTATTTCACTATTCAAGATAGCCCGTCGGGCAGGGCAGTGATACATTTTGGTAGCCCGACTGGAAAACACAATAGCCACGGGACGTCGGGCTAGCGATTTTGCGAGCCCTGACTACAAATGTATGAAAGATGAGGCTGTTATAATGTTCACAGGTATTCACAGAAACAGGTACTGTTTTTGTTAATGAAAATAAATGTACATCTGCATCCTAACTCAAGCTCCTGCTACTCTCAACTCAAGCTACTGTCAAATGTGCATTTTCTAAAACGTGTAATATTATTAGTATAATATATATATATATATATATTATATTTAAATAAATTTTAATATATGTATATATTAAATATATATCCATATATGTACATGGGGGGGCCCCGAGGAAAAAAGGTTGGGAACCACTGATCTAGCTCATACATCAAACATGCATAAATATATGCAGACTGAGGTTTACGCCTCGTCTGTACAGATTATCAGAGTTTACTCATATTTAGGATATCATCAGCAGGTGAGTTCATTCGGATTGTTGTTGAACTGTCCGTCCTTTCTGAGGTGATGGGCAGCAGGGGTCACTGTTGTTATCTGTTACACCCGTAAGTGATCCCGTGTCAGCTGTCTGTCTAGGTTTATTTAGCATCAGCCTAGGATTAGACTTCTATTATTTTTATTTCCTGGTGTATGCCTGTGACTGACTGAATCATAGTGCTAGAAGAAGTGAAATGGCATTTTATATTAGTGGAGTTTAGTTCAGTTTTACTGTATACAGCCTGAGCTTGCCTTCCTAGTAACTATAGGAAGTGTAGATGATGTATATACTAAAAATATTTTACTATCAAATAGAATATGTAACACATGCTTTATTGGAACACAAATGAATCTAAGAAATTTGCCGATTTTTTTCCCCCCCCTAAACAAATTCAGCTGATTAAAATGGAACAAAAAATTAGTCTGATTTATTTGAACTTATTATTCATTTTTAACCTTTTGAAATTGTTCATAATAGTGACTTGGTTTCAGAAATATTCATATATGATTTATAATCATATATGAATTAATTTGTTTCCCAGGAGTCTTCATTAGGCATTTTTATGTGTGCCATTAGTAGTTAAATACATTTTGGCAAAATACTGCAGTTAGAAATTGTACAAAAAACACTTAATGTTGTAACTATATCTTCTGCCAAAATACTGTCAAACTCTGGTACTTTGATATTAGTCACAAAAAGAAATGAATAAAATAAAAAAAAAACACGAACAACCTTTTTTGCACTGTTTAAAGGAGATCCCATGTTAATTTATAGGGTGGTAGTTCAGTTGATTTGTGAATTGAATCAGTTCAAAAGAATGATTCACCTGTTATACCTGCTTAACATATGGTGTAATATAATGTTTGGTCTTTAACTTTCTATTTATAGTCATTGTCTTATGGAAATGGGATTTTAGAGTAGAGGACAGTTCAGGACAAGCCTCTCTTTTACTGATCTAGACTACAAAGAACAGTGGAGCCTTTCGGTGTTCCTGCTTGAGCTTCACAGGATGTTCTTTGCTCATGAGTGGCCTGAGAGTCTCATGACCTGATGTTTGATATCTGTTAATAAGCTTATGTAAGCGGATCGTTCTTCACAGATACAAACAGCTTTCTGCTTACTTTGTCAGCAGATGTGATCGGCAATTAGCCTATACATACAAGCTGTTCGCCGAAACATCAGATCAAAGATAGCTCAGGATTTCAGACCTGCAGCGTTTTACAAGCAAATAAATGTCCAGGTTTTCAGGCTCAATTGGATCTCGCCGCCTCCCTCGCTGTGATGCTGTCTTTCTTCAAAGACCCCAGTAATGGGGGTGAGATGTTTAGACACCTAATGAATCAGTTTAGGGAGTCATGGTCCGATTTCAAAACATTTCCAGATACATTTAAGTTTTTTCAGTAATGGCGTAGGTGAGCAGTTTGGGTGGCTTGTTGCTGCATTGTTTTTAAAGTAGACAGAATTACTTATTTAATATACCATACCATATTAAAGGGATAGTTCACCCAAAAATGAAAATTCTGTCATCACGCTCATGTCGTTCCAAACCAGTAAGACCTTCGTTCATTTTTGGAGCACGAATGAAGATATTTTAGATTAAATCTGAGAGCTTTCTGACCCTGCATAGACAGCAATGCAACTGAAATGTTAAATGCAGTAAGGATCGTTAAAATAGTCCATGTGACATCAGTGGTTCAACCTTAATTTTATGAAGCTACGAGAATACTTTTTGTGCTCAAAGAAAACAAAAATAATGACTTTATCCAACAATTCTTCTCCTCCAAATCACGTCTTAATTATGATTGTTATTATCATTGTTGCTATTAATAATATAATGACCGATAATAAAATAAATATCTTGTTACTGTTAGGAATAATAACTATTATTATTATTATTATTATTATTATTGTCTTGTTGTTGATAACAATAATAATAATTATTTGGCTGTTAATAGTAGTAATAATAATAATACAAATATTTTATGGATGCTGTTAATAATAATAATAATAAAATTGTTAATGATAATACTGACAATAAATATCATCTTGTTACTGTTGTTGTTATTGTTGCTGCTTAAAATAACAGTGAATAATAATAATAGTAACAACTATTGTAAAAAATGAGCTTTTATTTATAAAATATTTATTTAAACATTTGTTGTTGTTGTATATTCATTTATTTTCCTTCCCTATCCTGCAGTCACCTTGTCTCTGATTACAGCTACTTGTAGAAAAATAGCGTGATTTCAAAGCCCTCAAGCCTCCTTCTCGTCCCTTAACAGGAGCTGGTGTCTGACACAAACCAGCATGTGAAGTCTGCCTTGGCTTCTGTCATCATGGGTCTCTCTACCATCTTGGGCAAGGACAACACCGTAGAACATCTGTTGCCTCTTTTCCTGGTCCAGCTGAAGGACGAGGTAACCCACCTGGAGCTCGGCCCAGTCTCTCATCTGTCTGTCTCTATTTCTCTTGTGGTCAAAGATCCTTCTGATTGTACTAGAGCAGAGACACCAGGTCTTTTCCAGGTCTGATAGGTCACCTTGTGTTGGGCTTAAGGGCTGTTTGCTAAATTGTCTTCTCTAAGGTCCTTGATTGATGTTGCTTTTATTGGGCTCTTGTCCATGACCACTCTCTGAGTTGTATTAGCTTTTCGATTGTACTAATAAACTCTTAGTCTGTTTTTAAATGAAGTTGAACTTTGGCCTCAGCTTTCAGCAAGACCATGCCAAACCGAAACCCATCCAAACTCTTTCCTCCAGTGTTTGTGTTCCCTTCTGTTTTATTGGACTCCTCTCGATTGTCAAACACACCATCTGAAAATGTTAAGAGCTGGATTCTGTGAATTCTGCCCTGAAGTGTATTTCCATTGGCTGCTTATCCGCCCGGCTCTGTTTGACTAACAAACTTTGTTGTTTGGATTTTAGTCAGTCATCACCAAAGTGCACTTGCTCAAGCAAGTCATCAAATATTTGGCAGCATGTATGCGTGCGCTGTAACAATATCACATGAGTGTGGCGTCCTCCTAGAGCCATTTAAGGGAAATATAAAAGATGGAGACCTTTTGCTTTCAATAAAATTTATACTTAGAAGTAATTATGGGGTCTTTAAAGCTATAAAATCATTGATGACCATGTTTACTTTCTTTAATACACGTTTAATATGCTGTTCTTTTTCTGCAAGTTTCATTGGTGTTGAAACATATTGTTATTCCTTATGTTAAAGGGTTAATTCACCCAAAAATGAAAATTCTGTCATTAATTGCTCGCCTTTCGAAAATGTCGTTTCAAACCCGTAAGACCTTTGTTCATCTTCGGAGCACAAAACTAAGATATTTTTTGATGAAATCCGAGAGCTTTCGGATCCTCCATAGAAAGCAAAGCAACTGAAATTTTCGAGGCCCAGAAAGGTAGTAAAGACATAAGTGGTTCAACCGTAATTTTATGAAGCTACAAGAATAGACTGACACGGAAGAGAAGAAATTGTTGAATAAAGTCATTATTTTTCTTTTCTTTGCACGCAAAAAGTATTCTCGTAGCTTCATAAAATTAAGGTTGAACCACTGATGTCACATGGACTATTTTAACGATGTCCTTACTACGTTTCTGGGCCTTGAACGTGTTAGTTGTGTTGCTGTCTATGCAGGATCAGAAAGCTCTCGGATTTCATCAAAAATATCTTAATTTGTGTTCCGAAGATGGACGAAGGTCTTACGGGTTTGGAACGACACAAAGGGTGAGTAATTAATGACAGAATTTTCATTTTTGGGTAAACTAGCCCTTTAAAACAAAATATGTAATATAGTGTATATTACTTTGTCAAAATATTTTATTTTCGTTTAGTGTCCTGGTGTCCATCTGATAAAAAAAAAAAAAAAAGTATTTAAGAATATACAATTTTTTTAATATAATTTTTTTCTTATTTTCCTGTAGTGTCCCGAGGTGCGTCTAAACATCATCTCTAATCTGGACTGTGTGAATGAGGTGATCGGGATTCGGCAGCTCTCTCAGTCTTTGCTGCCAGCTATAGTAGAGCTGGCTGAGGATGCCAAGTGGAGGGTTCGACTGGCCATCATTGAGTACATGCCTTTGCTGGCTGGCCAACTGGTGAGTCTGCGCTCCACTCAAGATCGATTAGTTGTATCTGGGCGGAAAAGGATACGCACTCTCATGTTGTTCCAAACCGTTTGTTTCTTCTGTTGAACACAAAAGATATTTTAAAGAATGTCGTTAACCAAACAGTTGATGATCGCCATTGACTTCTGTTGTATTTTTTTCATACTCTGGAAGTCAATGGCTACCGTCAGCTGTTTGATTACCAACATTCTTCAAAATATCTTCTTTATTGCTCAACAGAAGAAAGAAACTTATACAGGTTTGGAACAACTTGAGGTTGAGTAAATGACAGAATTTTTATTTTTGGGTGAACTACTACCCCTATAAGCTCTAAAATGACAGAGTGATTTGGAAACACGTGGGAATGAGAAATGGGTGGATTGTTACTGTATGGATTGCTACTATATCCCAACTTTATTTCTAGGGAGTGGAGTTCTTCGATGAGAAGTTGAATTCCCTGTGCATGGCATGGCTCATTGATCACGGTAGGTTTTCTGAGTCTGACGATTCTCCTGAGTGCCATAAGAAAAAAAGATGTATTGAGTTACTGACAACAATGAACCAGAACCTTTAAACTGTATAATTCAAGCAGATGCATTTGCTTAAATTTGAAGATAGCACAGCAGCAGTTGCCTCAGTCTCTCTCCTGTCCTACTCCTTCCCCAAAAGGAGAAAGAGAATTACGCATTCATCTCAAAAAGTTTCTGCTATCAGCCAATTATAAGGGTCTGATAAGATTCTAGCACTCTCTCCGTCTCTAAATTTCTCTTGCTTTCTTCCCTCTTCTCTCAATTTCACCTCCATGTGTGTCATTCTGTTTTTATTATGATGTTGTTATTTTTAAGTAGAAAAGGGATCTGAGACTCTTTAACAAGGTAAAGTGTGTAAATCTCTAAATCCACATCCAAGTCTAAATCCAAGTACAATCTCTAAATACTGTAGTCTTAGACTGCATATTACCAAGAGTAAATTTTTTTTCATATGATAATTAAAATTAGACCACATGTACACTACTCTTCTACGGTTTGGTGACAGTAAGTTTTAAAAAAATACTCCTTTAATTCTCGTTTATACAGCAAGGGTGCATCAAAAAAAGTAACAGTAAAGGCGTTTATCATTTAATCATTTTATTTAGAAGAAATTCTGTTTTTTGTGCTTTTTATTCATCAAAGAATTCTGAAAAATAGCACTAAATCCATATATGTGACCCTGGACCACAAAACCAGTCGTACGGGTAAATTTTTCAAAATTGAGATTTATACATCATCTGAAAGCTGAATAAATATAATTGGCAATAATTTTGACCCATACAATGTATTTTTGGCTATTGCTACAAATATACCCCAGCGACTTAAGACTGGTTTTGTGGTCCAGGGTCATCTATTTGAATGATTTCTTTTAAGATCACTAAAGTCAGGAGAAATGGCTGCTGATAATTCAGATTTTTCATCACAATATCTAATATCCAGCTTCGTATACAGGGCCGCATTAAGACCTTACTGGGCCCCGGGGCTATGACTGACTCCAGGACCCCCTATTACAAATATGATATATATATATATATAGCTTTAAATAGGATTTTTATCCTATCAAAATTTTGATGCATTGAAATTTCATAATTCTTGTTACCAATTTCAATATAAAAATAAATAAATAAATAAAAAAAATACTAGCCTAAGTAAAAACAAGCTTATACACAAGACAAGTAAACAGCCACAAATTACAAAAAATAGACCTACTTGAAACACTTAAAGCACTGAATAAGAACTACCGATGACCAGTCAATCTATTCCACAGCCAATCACGGGCCCCCTCCTTGTCCGGGGCCCCGGGGCTTCAGCCCCGCCTAGCCCAATGGTTAATGCGGCCCTGTTCGTATAGGCGCCACTTTTGTAGAACAGATAAGACTTTTAAATTGCCTGCTGATCTCGCTTTGATTGGCATGTCAGTGGTAATGAATGTTTCAGATTGATGAGCCTCTTAGTAAATCTTCATTTTAATGGTTGTCAGAATGGTTATGATCTCACTTTGAACCATGCGCTGAGTGGATCCAGCTGTTGAGGTGTTTTGCACGGTGAGTTTCAGCGAGGACCTCGACCGTGTGCACACACACAATTTCACTCTGACACAGTTGTAGACAAAGGGCCAGATGGGTTACATCACTGGAATGTTCTTGTATATCCTGTGCTGCTGGGCCAGTGCTGTCCTCTTACATAAGAGCTCAGAGCCGGAGCGGTCATGTGTAAATGTGAACTCTTTCTGACAAATACACACAGGTACATCTGCAGGAGATACACTGTGTCAAATGGATTGTCTCATTTTTTTGTGTGTTTTATAATCTCCATTTAAAGCTTGACCTACTTCATGAAACTGCTCATCATATTTTGGCTGATGTGCAGCATTTTATTTTTTTCATAAGCTCTGTAAGGACTATGGATAGGGTTTTGTCTTGAATTTTAAACTCTAAATAGGATTGTCTCAGGCAAATTCCCAGTTTTTTGATAAAGGGGGTTATGTCATCGTCAGACGGATTTCAAAAGAGCCGCCCGTCTGATGTTTAGCAGATTTGTGATGCACAATTTCACAGGATGTTTGTAGATATTTACTCTTCCCAGAATGAAGGTTAAATGGCTTGATTGTGATCTCTATTTGAGTTATTGTGAAGTCAGGTGGAATGTAATCTGTGGAGGTAATGCGGAGCACCAAAACAATGATTATCCCTGCTTGGGTCCAACTGTCGTGCCAGATAATCTGATCAAACAAACCTAAAGCTGAAATTAGCAAAGTAAATATTACAAAACAAGTGCATTATTCATATTAAATCATCTTTTTAGGAGAAAAATAAGTGGAATGGTGGACCTCTGTTGGATAACGAGGGTGGTGTAGTGTTGTGGATAAAAATGTGGACTGGTAATGGAAGATTGTAGTTTTAAACCCCTTAAGGGACAATCCATGAATCACGATTGTGTCCTTAAATTAGGGTGACCATACGTGCCATTTTCCCAGGACGCGTCCTGGCCAGGATTTCTATATTGCCTAAAATATCTAGGTTTTGGCTTTGTTTGCGTGTGCAGACCGATCGGTGTATGACATCAAAGTACCATACAGACGGTTATGCTTTCGAAACGCTCTCGAGGTACTTTGATGTCAAACACTGATCGGTCTGAGCCGCACTGCTTTTAAGTCGAACACACCTAATATGTACACGTAATTGCATCGCTTTGACCGGGACACAATATTTTATTTTATTTTTTTATTTTATGTACTGGTGAATCTTCTATATGTGACCCTGAACCAGCCATAAGGGTACATTTTTCGAAATTGAGATTTATACATCATCTGAACCAGTTTTCACAATTCTGTTAATCTACAGTAGATGAAGTCCCATGCCATATGTGTAGAATGGGACTTTGTCTGCTGTAAATGTATTTATTTTTAATGTATTCCTTATTTTCATTTTAATTCATTTTTATAGATAGATTTTTTAAAATATATTTTTCTTTTAAATTTATTTTAATGTAGATTTTTTCTGACAAATACGCACAATCATTCAATCAATTTGTTTGTGATACTGAAGAATGTATGTCTTCAGTTTGTATGACACTAGGCTGTATATCTGGTGGTTTGTCCTAAAAATGACATTTATCTAAATGTCAGTTTTCATCTTCATCTCAAATCTCGATCTTCATGTTAGCCTGTGAATTAACATTAATATCTTTGCCTTGCTCTGCAGTGTTTGCCATCCGAGAGGCTGCCACCTGCAACCTCATGAAGCTGGTGGAGAAGTTTGGAGCAGAATGGGCCCAGAACACCATTGTGCCCAAAGTCCTTGGCATGGCCAATGATTCCAACTACCTGCACAGGATGACCACTCTCTTCTGCATCAATGTAAGTCTGGATGCCCTGGCTGGTGCCTGTTTTTTAAACCTAAACGTTCTCCCAGTTGAAAGTCATTTCATTAATATCTGGTGTTGCAAAATGACAACAAATGAAAGCCTTTTTAAATTTTTTTTTTTTTTTTTGTGTCAGGCTCTGTCTGAAGTATGTGGACAGGAAATCACCACCAAGCACATGTTGCCTGTAGTCCTCAAGATGTCCACTGATCAGGTGGCCAATGTGCGCTTCAATGTGGCCAGGTGCTTACAGAAGATCGGACCAGTTTTGGACAGCAGGTATCTTTAAATAATAGCTGCCTGTACCCTTTTCTATCTTGATGGCATAAGCAAACAAACCAGCATTACTAACAATGATGTTTTCAATAGTGCTTTGCAGGCAGAGGTTAAACCAGTCCTAGAGAAACTAGCTACAGACCAAGATATGGATGTGAAGTACTTTGCTCTAGAGGCTATAAGTGGTACATTTCCTTTTATCTCTTTAACCTTTGAAACATGAATCCTCTCAGAAACATTGTTTCATTCTCCCCTATACTGTTTTTCGCTCTCTCCATAGTTCTTGCCTTGGCTTGACTGACTTCCTCACCACATCCAGTGAAAAGCTGACAACACAAGACCTGTTGCATTATATTTATTGTTCATTTTGAATGATTAAGTATCGTCGTTGTGTTCTTGTTTACTCTCAAAGATGTTGAATGATCAAAGGATGGACTTTCTATCAAGTTTTACCTCAAACATTGTTAGCGCAGCTAAGCTCTGTATGCTTGTACAATTACGCATAGCTCTTCGCAAACATCACCCCATGAGCCATTCCAGTGCGATCGTATCGGAATCGGTACATGCCTGCTTCAGCATGCCATTTGCTTTTCTTAGACCGGAGCTCATCCTGCCAGTAGCAGATGGTGCGAAATGCCTGTTTATTTGCTTTAGTAGATTTGCTAGCGCACAGCACATTGTTTACATGTGTTCCCTCTCTAGAGAGGGAAAAAAAATCTCATGTGCTCACACGGTTTAACCGCCGAGTCCTCCGTGTGCACAGGGCAGATTGTGTTCTGAGCACATGGTTGGATTGCGGTCTCTCTAGAAATTTGCTTTATGCAATGAAGTCACACCTTTATCATGAGCTTTTTCCATCTAGGGACCATATAATTGAATCAGTTGTGCTGTAACACGGGATGCACGTATGAATCAACATCAATTCACGCCGTTTTGCCTGCATTTTTGCGCTCATGTTGGTCATGAATAGCCCCTTTTATAAACTTGTAGATTTTCTTGAACCTTTGTGCCAATGAACTATCTACTTATAGTATGATTTATCATTTTGTACGTTTTTCAATATACATTGTTCTCTCTAAGTGGAAGGCATGTTTAAAATGTGGTCGTGTCATAAAATCATTCGGCTGGTTGGAGGAATATTGTCTTTTGTGGGACGTAATTCAGCAATATTCATTGTTACAAACAACTTGCACCTACTGCATTCTGTGGAAACCCTTTGTTCAAGCTCAATATCATGAGAACTTGTAGTTTTGTTTTGTTTTTTAACTCATTTGGGAAATTGGTGTACTTTTAGGACTAAAAGTCAGTTGAACTACGTATACTGCAGTTGTCCTCCTTTGACGTACTCTCACAGACTAATCGTTGCATAATTCTAATTGGAACAGGGGGTGCGTGACACCTGTTAGTATCGTCTCTTAAGAGTTTGTCATCCTATATGAATTTTAAAGATTAATGTGGAATCAGGTTTTTGGTCTCCTGATTAACTGTTTTCTACAGTTACCTGGCTATAGTGATCTTATCGACAGCGTTGGATTGCGTGTTTTCGTCACTGAATTTGGCAGGAACTGGTGGTGCTGCTCTCTGGCACGTCTCCTGAGTATCAGATGTCTTATTTAAGCAGAATTATTTCAAAGGCTGTAAAAACTCTTAGGATGGATTTGTGACTAGATCTATTTGGAACAAATTTGAACAGCTCAGTAAGTTATTAGTGAGGGTAGCAAACTCCTGTATCACTTGAATTTGGACCCTTACAATTCTTGAGGCATGTAGTCATAGATCAGGCTGACTTTAGCTCAATGGTTTGCATGGGTATTTAATACCGTCTCATTACCTGAACCTAAATGTGGAGACAATGGACCATTAGTGAGTTGTCTAAACCTCAAATTAATGTCATTAGCAATTACTCTTATAAATGGCCACGTAGTATATTATAGCATGTAGAGCAGAACTAAAAGTGATGTGGACCTCTGTCTTGAAGAAAGTGGATGTTCAAGTCACAGCTTTTTAAGCTGCACTATCATCAGTGTTAAGTCTGTGTACTTCCTGTGTAGCTGAGATGGGTCATTGTTGCCAATTGTTTTCAGATGTTCCTGCTTGTGTTTAAGCAGGATTATGCAATGGCAGCTGTGCTGAAGATGGCTAATAATCACTTTGTTTAAACATGCTGAAATTCAAAGACTGATGGCACTGAGATGCCAAAATGCTGTTTAGTTTCCAGTGTTGAGAAACACAGTGTTTCGATGACTCTCTGTTACAACATCATTCAAATGGTTATTTAATGGAAGCCCAAATCTACCATTTCTCCACTCTTACACAAGGTGTTCCCCAAGGTTCAGTACTTGGAACATTTATCTTTTCTTCACTTTCATTTCTCTGCGCTGATATCATCTATCAACATGGTCTCAACTTTCACTACTATGCTGATGACATTCAGATTTCAGCACTGGCTGAATCACCACTTCTATCAGCTTCCTTGCTGCATCTATCTGTGGCATCAAGCACTGGATGAGCTCTAACTTCCTGAAATTTGGCTATTGTGTGATGATCAGTCAAAGACAAAGTCAGATTCATGAGTCAACATTCAAGTTTAAGTTCTCTAAAAACTATATCTAGGTGTTAGTTGACTCATCCGTCTTTTTAATATGGAACTTGTTTTTAAGATACTATTTTAATCCGCATACCATTGTCTGAAACTCACCATGACAGGCCGGATTGAACATACATGAACAAGCTAATCATGGCCTTCAAGATTACTTAAAAATTACAGGCATCCTGCATCAATAATGCATTAGCCTTTTAACACATTGCTTGAGGAAATGTCAAGTGTATTTCTGTTTGCAGTTTTGACCATGGGTTCAAATTAACTTTAACGTTGACTTCAATCAGAAGACAACAAACAATGCAACCAACTCACAAAGACCAACATTCATTGACATAAGGACAACTAAACCTCAGTTGCCTTGGATTGAGTTTTTTTTTAAGGTTTTACAAAAACAACTTTCTCTCTGGGAGACCTTCTGTTTTTGTTCCTCTGGCTCTGAACATACAAATACCAATGTTATTTCTAATACGATATATTTAATTATATCTGAATATTCTGAGAATATGTAAAGATTCTAATTGTTACATACATTATTAATCACTGTAGCAGTTCTTGTTTCATTATATTGTAACATACATTGTGTCAACATTTTAGTTTATGCTAAACAATTAATTGAGACACATTAGTTATTACAAAATGATTATCATATGTGTCTAAACATGCAGAAAAAACTGCTGCAGGCTGATGCAATTCAAAAGACACTGTGTGTGTGTGCCTGAGGCTTATTTACAGGTCAGCCATCACTGACCTCATTGGATCAGTTGTTTCTGGCCAGTTTAGCAGACCATTTTAATCTGTGCCAATCATGATGCTTCCCTGAGGATAAGATGTCCGATAACCACCTAATTATGCTGTAATAATAGGATTCTACAGCAATGGGACTATTGCATTAACCACATTTGTCTCAGCCATAGCTCCTCAAGATTATCAAGAGTAACACAATTCCACTGTCAACCTGCTGCCATTGTAAGACATAAGTAACGATGTGACTTGTGTTTATGCTTTATGCAAGTAGAACAGTAACGAAAAATAGATTTTGTACCATAATTTTACACTTTCTCATTGTTCCAGGTAATAATGAAATGGATTGAATTCAACAGAACTGCAATGAGCAGACAGCATGTGTAAAATGGACATTTTTCAAACTGCTGGACAAGCCTTTTGCCCACAAAACGATCTGATTTGAGTTGGGTAAGACAAGAGAAATATTTAGTGGTTGCTGATTTCGAGAACAGTGGAAAAAAACAGTTTCTCCGCTTGTGTAATTTGTGAACATTCTTGTGTGGTGAGCTGTCTGGAAATAGGGCTCTTGCCTCATGTGATCAGAATGAGTGAATGAGAGTGAGAAAGAAAGGGCGAGAATGTACATGGAAGTGTAAATGAGAACAAGTGAGCTCGGGTCATGTGAAAATCACAGCAGAGAAGAGGAAGCTCCCTTTGAGAGTGAACTCAACGCTCTACTGAACTCCACTGAACAAATTAATTGAAACGGTCTGATAGGGAATCGAACGTTTCGTAAGCAGCAATGCACATAATTAAACCAAAAAAAAAAAAAATGCATTCATTTGTTTAATTGACTAACGTAACCCGAAATACTTTGTGATTTCTATGATTTTTTGAGGGCTTGAAAGAGGCTGTTTTTTTTTTTTTGCATTACACTGCTTTTCAATTGTTTTTCTATCTATCTATTTTTTATTAATTTTTTTTTTTAAGTTGAACTCCATTTGAAATCGCATGAACCATAGCTATTGCAAGTGACTTTTCTTTGCTATTGTGAGGTACATCTGAGTGAAACAGCTTCTCGAATGAGAAAAAAAATTAGGACAGAACTTGATTTTGTGCATCAGTAGTTGATTGGATTGTTGTTTAGTAATTGTTGCAATGCTTTCATGTGAGTGACAGGTTGCCCAGCCCTTGCAGTGGTGCACATCAAGGAAGAGTCATGTCATAGACCTTAGTCAGGACAATGCCATATTAAATTTTTGACAGGAATGAAACCAAGCCTGTAAGTTTTCATTCCTGTCAAAAATGTTGGGATAGAAGTGGGTTAAATTGTTTTCAATGGATTGTAATGTTGCACCAATTGTTGAAATAGGAACCCTTTCACTTTTTAGGGTTTCTCAGAAGTGGAAGTCATCATAGAACTGGAAACGCCATCAAATGTATTTTTTTGCGTTCTTATTTGCTCAAATAGCAAAAACAAACAACAAAAAAACTCCATGATAGTGATTTCATGCCTTTCAGAAAGAGGAAAAATAGAGAGAGATTGATAACGGTAGACAGAAGAGAGAATGATGTCAAATCCATCCCTCACAGCCTCATTTCCATCCACATAAAATTTTTAAGTGCACATGAATTAAAATAAATATAATGTGCACGAACGAATCCTTTATAAATACCACGATATAAAAAAAAAAAGGGCTTATTTTTTTAAATATGGTTGCTTGTTAGGAAAACCTGACAAGCAACTTCTTTTCTTTTCATTTATTTTCACTGTATTCTCCAATACATTGATTGACACTCTGTCTGCTCACAGTTAATAGCCAATCAGTGCAAACATATAAGTGCTGTAGCATAATTTGTCAAATATTCCGCCCCCTCCGCACGCGCCTTCTTTTTGAACGTGATTTTTCTTCAATCCCTCATTGAAGAAAAATCACGTTCAAAAAGAAGGCGCGTGACGCTGTAAACCAAACTATGATAGTAGTAGACGTAGAGGAGTGGGATGACTTTTTCCCTTTATAAGGTAGCCTAATTTTAAATTTTTACAATGTTTTTGTAATGTATTAATTATCACGGGCTGTAAAAAACAAAACAAAAACAAGTAGGCCTATACTAATACTAAGAGTAGATTTGGTTCGAATAGCCAATATTTTAGTAGGCTATAAATATGTGGCTATGTTACAGCTCCCCTTTGAAGCTCTCGTGTTTTTCTCCTTTTCCATCTGTCCAATCCTATTCTGCTCACATGTGATTGGAGACGAGTTTTGTTCCTGCTTTGTTGCAGTTGGCTGATTTTTGTAAAATAACTTATGTTTTTGCTTTTCAGATAAAAGGGTAGTTTCAGTTTAATATGTTACGGGCTCATTTATTGGTAATAAATAATTGATAAATAATATTGATGATAATAAATGATCAAAAAATATTGGGCTTGTTTTTGAAGCTGCGGTTGCTTATTTGTCTCGCGAGAGTTGGCAACAGTGTGCAAAAGGCGCAATTTATGTAACGGTCAGGCATATCCGTCTAGCGCTACGTTCACACACTGTCAGTTTGGGTTTGACAACCGCAGAAATTTCTCGTTTACACAGCAGTTTAGAGGAGTGACTAACGTCCGTATGAACAAATACCTAAAGTCAAGCAAAACTGACAGGAGCAGCTCCGGTGGAAAACAGTGACTGGGGCTGCGTTTACACGGCAAGTCTCAAACCTTCAGATGATGACAGTTAACAGATGAAGTTAAGTTACCGAATACACACATAAAAAGTAGACGCCTATGTGTAGTGAAATTCCCCCAGATAAAACAAACAGACACAAAACGCTTTGTTCAATAAATCTTTTTTAATCTTAACAGCACATTAGCTTATGTGTGGTCAACAACCATGAAGGTAAATGCAGAATTGTAGGATGTCTAAGGAACGGTGTTCGCCAGCAGAGGTGTGATTATGATATATGGCAACACATTCACTAATCTGTTCTTTATGAACAATTC